TTGTTTTATTATAAGAAAATGTATTATTACGTATTATTTGTTATTTATAAATAATTTCAATTCTATTGCATAATATATGTTATATATAATAAATATACTTATTTGATACAATTATAACCTCTAAAGCATATTTATCATACATCAGCAACCAAGTTTTCAATAAAAACTAGAAAGAAAGATATAAATCTATTACAAACAAGAAAAAATTAAAAATGAATTTTCCAACGTAAACCCTAAACATGGGTAAAATTTACCCGAACGAAATTTTGCTGTCTTCCCTGTCGAAAACGGTTAGGTGAGAAAACAGCTGAGTTATGCCTTCCAACAAAGGAATTAGTTAACTAATTTTGGCCCTAGTATAGTACTGCCAACTCCTCATATTTTCAGAGCGGTAATGTTCGAAAAGTTGGTCTGGGTAAATTTTACCCACGTGTCGGGTTCTACACTGAAAAAAATTTCTGGTTGAATATGGACGAATCAGATAATTCCTTTAGGATTTACCAGAATTCCTTTAGGATTTACCAGAATTTCTGTAGGATTAGAGGAATTCTGGTAAATCCTAAAGGAATTATCTGATTCGTCCATATTCAACCAGAAATTTTTTTCAGTGTAGGGTTAAAACAAACATCTTAAAACATTTTGAAGCTACGCTCACCGAAGATCGCGACGGTCAGTGTATATCTACAAGATTTCTTCGTATTCTGAATTCCAGTATTCGTGTTTTATTGAAAACTGTGTCAATCTTCGGTCGAAAATGAAAAAAACGATACACTTTCAATCGCACAAATCTACAACGAGCGCGTGAAGTAATTCGCGACTTTGAAACGAACATCATTTAGTCAGACTTGCCTTCGCGAATTCGAGCAAATCGTTCGCACGGGGTCGTGACCATTAATTGTTCAAGAAGCAGGTAATGACTCGCCGGTCTTCCGCGCTCGTTGTAGGCGCCCCGATTGTATGCAAATCGCAGGCTGTGCATTAATATGCCAGCGATTAGAAATCGGAACGGACGCCGAATTCCTCGAGGCTTACGAATCTTACGTAAGCGAGAACGGCTTTTGAGAGCAGCGCACGGCCGGTGGCTGCCCGTCCTCTTGCCGCCGTTGTTGCCGGTGCTTTTCGTTCGTTCCTTAACGATAACGGTCGAACAAAGAGCCGGGGCACCGGACGTAACAGGCACTAGGGTTCAGCAACGCCGAACGCCCGAAGCCAGTATCGATAAGTGGTACAGCGCGGGCGGTACGGCCGGAGAACGGTTTGGGTACGGGAGGCTGTAACGCGAGGGTCTCGCTTTATAGCGGCTGATTGCAAAAGAGGAAGGGTGCCCTCGCGCAGGAAAAAGGCGAAAGATAGAGACGGGAGCTCTCCGTATGTAGGCGGAAAAATGGCGCGGCTTGTTACTCGAGGAAGATCGGGGATAGTATCGCTCATGTGTGCGCCGATGGCTCGAGGCTCGTATTCCGCTATATATTTCATATACGTAGGTAGGTCCGAGGCCACGGAGCGAGACAATTAAAAGCCGTTGCAAGCGCGACAATTGGATATCCCGTAACTTGAACGACAGACGAGAGATTAACAAAGTAAAGTTAAAGAAACATACATTTACAGGAATGTTTAACGTCGGCGTATTATTTCTGTAATAGGAATCCCTTTTAGTGAAATGTCTATTAACCCCTTCATGATCACTGGGATATGTAAGTCTCGTGTACGAAGTTTGAAAAGACTCGATAACCTAGCGTGCATGGAGAGAATTTCTTTCTCAAAATTTACCCTGAAAATCACGTAATCCTGGCATTTTGAAGAATTTTATGAGAGTTTTTGAATGCCACGTTGTCCCACGATTACATGATTTTCAGGGTGAAGTTTAAGAGAAAATTCTTTCCGTGTGCATTAATTAAAAAAGAACATTCGACAAAACTTCAATAACCGCCCTCCAAACTCAGTTAAAAAGGTCAACAGTCCCGTTGAGGGGACCTTGAAAAGAAGATACGATTCATTGATTTTGCACTTTAATCAACCGCAGGACTTTTATCAACCGTTAGAAACTGGCGTTTCCGGCGATATCGGCGCAATATCTCAGGGACCGGCCTGCCGCTCGATAAATTCCAACCGGCACGCGAGGGTAAGAAAGAAGAAACCACGAAATATTCCTCGAAATTTATCGCGAGCACTTATTGGCCGCGGGCTCCCTCATATTTTCTCATCGCCGTTCTTACATAATTCACGCGTTACTCTAGTACACGTTTAAGGAGTGTTTAAGAATGCTTCGTGCGATCGTCGGCCGCGCTGACGCGCCGTGCGCGCGCGGGTTAATGTATTCCACGGGCAATCATTGGCGGTGCCTTGTTATATGTAAATCACCGTTCTCCCGGCGGAGATGGATCGCTCGGATCAATCTGTATCGAGGGCGGATTTTCGACTCGGCGCGTACTTTTATAGCGATTCCTCAATGTACTTGCTCGAAAATTCAACGCGATACTTGTGTAAATTAAACCGTGTGAGGTACTTTTGCAAAATGTTGTAAATTTCACCAATTAAGTCTGAGCGCTCTCAAGACCGTGGTAGCGCTTGCGTCTTATTAAGGCCTGCGTCCACGATGCTAGACTTGGTCCAAGCTTTTATGGAATAGCCGCAAGTCGATTGGCTATGCACATTTCTCGGAACTGGAACTCGAACCAAGTGGCATCGTGGACGCAGGTCTTTACGCACGGCGCGTGTCTTGAGAAATGTGCAGCCACTCAACTTGTAGCTACTCCATAAAAGCTGCAAGTTGCTTAGCTACATATTTCTTAGAACTAGAACTTGGACCAAATTCTAGGCATCGTGGATACAGGCCTTAAGGTACGCGCCGTGCGTAAAGACCTGTGTCCACGATGCACTTGATTCAAGTTCTAATTCCGAGAAATGCGTAGCCAATCAACTTGCAGCTATTCATCGTGGACGCAGGCCTTAAACAGCCAGACGTCGCATCCGGAAGAGAGACTCGTACACGTGATGCTTAATACGTCGAGAATGACGCTTTCGCGCGCGAGATAGGATAATATACGCGATAGTATCGCACCCCCTCGTAAGAGCCGGAGGGGAGGCAGCGGGGGAGAAACTGCTACGTAGTCGTGGCGGCGGAAGTTACCGGTGAGCTACCTGACACCCGCCCCGGAGTTTGCGGCAAACTAATTTCGTAAACCTCCCGATAACCGGCGCATTTAATCGATGCCGCCCGCGAAATGAACCTGTCGCTTGGATTTTACGGCGTGACACCTAAATCCGAGGAGGCAGGATAAGAGGCCCGTCCCTCGTCCGCGCGCTGTCTCGCGAGGGACTTCGATGCCCATTGCGGCGCTCAGAGCGATTAATACGCGAGCGGAGACATCGACCGAGGGAAGTCTGTCTGTTCGCAGTCGATCGCAAATAACTTGTTCGCTCGCGCAAACGAGATGTCGATTTTTATTCGGGAAAGTGTTCGACGCGGATTAAAATATGTGAAACGTGGAGATTCCATTTAGAACATTAAAACGCGAGCTGTCTTCTCGATTACGTTTACGAGTGATATATCGCTGAGAGACCCATTTTGTTGAATGAAACAAGATTCAGTTGACTCAACTGAATTTCTTGTTTGGATATGAGCAAATCTTTGATACAACAAAACAATTTAGCTGGAAAATTTTGTTACACAACACACAAATTTTGTTGAGTGAACATGCGCAGAATACTTTTACAACATTCAACTAAACGATTTAGTTCACGCAACAAACACAATTATTGAGGACGCGATGAGATGGACGAATTTGTTATCTCAACCATAAAATTTTATTTTAGCGACATATTTTTCAAAGGGTATATTTCATCAGATTGCCAGTATTGATATAAATAAAATTTCAATTCTCAATCGACCTCAGCCGGCCACATTTATTAAATACGCCTTTACAACGTTTCGACCTTTGGTTCAGGTCCATTTCAAGTGAGATCTATGTGAATGTCTTACATATAATTTACGTGTGAAGTATAAACGAATTGTACAGTATCGCAGAAAGATTGTCGGTCTACCTTGTTACGGAGTTTGTCAAATGAAATTACAGCCACAATTTGGCGAACGGTGTTGAAAAATTAGAGCCGCTTCACTAATGTACGGAGTCGATGATTGTAAGACAAAGACTGGTCAGTTATTTTTATATTCACAGGTCGGGTAACAAACTGTAAAATTAACTGCAAAAATTGTGAGGCTCCGTACATAGGTCAAACCAAACGACACCTAACTACACGTATCAAAGAACACGAGACAACATCAAAAAACATCCCCCCTGACAACCACTCCGTGGTCAGCGAACATCGCACAGAAACCGGACGCGACTTTGATTGGTCAACCCCTGAAATTGTAGCACACGAAGAAAAGGGAGATATAGCTGAAATGTTTCTCATGAAGAAAACCAAGAACACTATCGACTTAAAAACCGACACGGACAATCTTAATTCGGTACATGACAAAGTTATTAGCTTGGTCTAAAAACATCTCTGACCGTCTTGGTGTGTTTTTCTTATATGTGTATGTTTGTTACTCGACCTCTTAATAATGAAAATAACTAACCAGTCTTTGTCTTACGATCATCGACTCCGGACGTTAGCGAAGTGGCTCTTCTTTCTGAACACCGTTGGCCAAATTGTGGCTGTAATTTCATTTGACAAACCCCGTAACAAGGTAGACCGACAAACTTTCTGCGATACTTCTCATGTAAAATATATATGTAAGACATTTACTCCTAGATCTCACTTGAGAAAGACCTAAACCAAAGATCGAAACGTTTTGAAGGCGTATTTAATAAATGCGGCCGGCTGAGGTCGATTGAGAATTGAAATCTTAAACATATTTTTCGTTTTATACAACGAAATTACATGTTTAGCCAACAAAATGTTTCAGTCAAATTATTTCGTGTCATTCGACAAAATGTGTCTCTCAGTGCACGCAGGTCTTCTCAGCTGATCCGAAATACAGAAACTTTCAACATGCCGACGCGCGTTGTTTTCGATTATTAAACTGCGAGAAACCGAACTTAGATCGTATCTCAAGGCAAATATCATCTGAGTTTCTCACTTGAATCGATTATAAACGTGACGAACATGTCAGAAATATCAAATTGACTCTGTCCGTTGAACCGTGTCTATCTGTTGAACCATATCGTATCGTAAAACTGGTTTTAACCGAGTTCTTCGACAGAAACGCGTCTATAAATACGGGCCTTAGATAAATAGTAGAAAACACGATTTCTCTTGTCAAGATGCGGAGTGTAAAAGTCATCGGTATGCTTGTATCTGCAGTTATAATACACAAATTACGCCGGGCAATTGGGCTGCGTCTGACCGTGACGGAAACGAGCCGTGAGCGACGCGTCGGTTCTCAGACGAATGAGATCGGCACGTGCAACTAATTCTGCGATTGACGCTCATTTCCATACGGTTACAGCTGCCGGCTGCTGTTTATCGTCACATTGAATATTTACTCACACTCCCGTTATCGGAGCTGTTGCTCTTACAGTGCGCAGAAAAATGATAAACCGCTGACTGACGGCACGGCGTAAAAATGCCATCGATTTTACGCAGGATGCACTGCGCTATCTGCTCAAAAAGCTCGTCGCACAAACAAGATTGAAATTTTATAACTTATTCGCGGTAGAGATAATTCCCTCTCTCGCGTAAATCGCGCGGTTTATGTAAAAGGAGCAATATATTGATACGTTGTGTACAACCTTTCAGTTAGTGCGCGCCGATTGTCAGCCACGAGTTTTCCGCTCGAGAAGTCAAAATACACGATACGCACGTGAAGATGGATCTTAAGCCACGTTTGTTACTTCTGTTCGTTTTTGTCAGCGTATTAACGTGTGAGGTCTTAGCCGATCGACCAGAACGTAAGCACTCTCCTTTGTACATACTGAATGTAGCGTTTTTTTCTATTATATTGGCTGTACGGGGTGAATTTTATTTCATGCCCCAGTCTTTTACCACGAGAGATGGGGATTACTGATCGAGATTGTAGCCAACCCGGGAAAAGATGGAAAATCTCATAATATGTGTTTCAATCATGTAATATCTAGTTGTATCTTGAGGGATTTAATTAGATGTTACACGATTGAAACATATATAACAATTTTTTCTATTTTTTCCAGAGTTGGCTGCAGTTGCAGTTGACACCCTTGCGGAAAGAACACTCAAGTTTTGAGTGTTGGCACTCGATTGTCCGAATTTACTCTCAAATTTGGACGTAAACACCGAGATTTAAATATTTACGTCCAAATTTAAGAGCAAATTCGGACAATCGAATGTTAACACTCAAAGCTTGAGTGTTTTTTCCGTACGGGTAATCCATCTGGCATGGTAGACGACTGGGACGCGAAATAAAATTCACCCTGTATACGTTAATTATGAATTTTGTTAAAACGCATGTCCTGCGAACTTACGTTCAACGGGGAAAAGTTGAAACTATTAAATCCAACCCCGTAAATCACGATAAGAATGTTGGCAGAGGGATTTCGCTGTGCATAATTTAAAGAAACTCCGCATTTGTTTCACAGTTTGTCAGTTGCCCGTGGAAGGGGGTACTTGCAGAGCGTATATAACGAGATATGCGTACAATCCAGCGACAGGACAATGCGAACGATTCATATACACTGGCTGTGGCGCAAACGAAAACAATTTCAAGAGTAGGCCCAAGTGCGAAGAGACATGTAAAAATGTATAATGGTGGATGAAAATGCTGAACACAAGGGAAATTCTCTGGAGATTTCATAAGGAACTTATTGTGCGTTTTCTATTTTTTTTACAGCAATAAAGGTCACAATTTTTACGTAATATAATCGAAAGTACGGTGAATACAAGAAAACTGATGCTTATAATTTGTCACTTTTTCTTTTCTTCTTCCCCCCCCCTCCCCGCTTTCCATGTGACATTAAAAGTAAAGAATGAAGAATGTTTAAGAACTTGAAAAGTGCTATAACTTTTAGTCACAGATGTGGCTTTGCTATTTTTATTAACGAATTATTGTAGTTTCTGCACACTTCGCTTCGTTGTTAAGACGCGTATATTAATATACAATTGAAATGCATATAAAATAAAATAGAGAAGGTAATCCCGAATGGAAAGCGAATGTTAAATATTACGGTATTCCATTTCGATGCCGCGAAATCACAATCGATAGCCGCTATTACTTCTTTTGATAGAAAGGTATTAGGTTCCATCAGTGTACACTTGATCGCTTCCGGCCCTTTCAATTTACAGCGGCAAAGACGATCACTTTGTGATCTGCATAACTTAGAATAACTTCCTGCACGAACGAGATAGATACATACTATAGAGGAAGTTGTTCTAAGTTATGTAGTAAGGACAACTTGCTACATATATCGCGGAGCAACTTTATCGCGAAGAAAACGTCCAGCGTAATGTATGATGAATAATAAAGGATATAATGAAAAAAAGTTATACATTAATTTGTAGAATAAACTGATCCATCATGACGCAAGGCTATAAATTATCCGTGACAAAATTATAATATACACATATAGTCCATTGTTCATAATGAAATTATAATACATATGCGTAATATAGATTTGTAAATCTAAAATATTGTTCTCACTTTTACCCAGAGTGTGCAGCGAAACATTTTGCATATAATAAAGTTAGGTAATCTGCGTTAGAAGCAAAATAAAGATAGAAAAAAACGGTATAATTGAGTTTCTTATTAGAACTAACTGCAAAACTTGAACTTTCCTAGCCTTGCGACTTGGTATAAGAAAAAAAATTGTGTTACGTAGCACGGATTGATATTGAAAATACGCATGGAAGAAATAATAAAGATAACCTATACAGTATTTCAAAGTGTAAGCCATATGTCAATGCAATAACCCGAGGAGAACAAAAAGTCAGGATGATGTCGATGTTTGGTCAATATGACATCAAATAGACGTCATCCTGACTCTTTTGTTCTCCTTGGGAAAGTATAAAACGCAGTACAATCGAATGATTTGCAAATGTTATGTCATCGAGTATTGAATAAACGTTTTATAATACGTTCACGTTTATATTGGACGATTTCAATAAAAAATCATCTCATGTTATCATTTTTTACGCATCACAAAAATAATTTTAAGTTAATGCAGGTGGAAAAGATAGCAGGAAAACATATAATCGGCAAAATCGAATTTTGAGTTTTCCAAGAGTTTCTAGAATTTTTAGCTTACGATTTTTGAACCGCGAAAATTACAATTCGTAAAAATCGACGAAGTATTAGAATATAACATTATACACACATAAATAATAGAAAATTCTTCTCTTTGTTCTCTTTTAATTCACATGAAATGAAACATAATTACATATATAATTTTAAACCGTGCACGAAATATTAAAAACCAACAGTCTCATGGAAATTGAGTTAAAATTTCAACTATTAGCTCACATATACGTGTACACATATTAAATATCGAATATTATACACATACGTTTCGTAGATACGTGCGTATACTGTATCCTCGGTACGATAATAATCGATTTCTATTTAAAGCTACGAAACGCATGTCACTGCGATGTGATATTTTAATGTGTCATTAAATATACACTCGGGAAATCAATTTTCGTATAATATATGTTTTTTTCTCTTGTGTAATCTCTGTTCGTATAGAACGTTACGCAAGAAAAATAATAGAGAGTGGAATAAAAGTACAATTAAAAGAATAATTTTTGCATTATTTTTTCTCACAAAAACAGTAAAGTTCGAGAAAATAAGAAAAAAATTGTTCATATTTCTCTAATTGTACATATAAAATGTACTATGCGTATAAAATTTAATTAGACACTTTAGATTATGTAGACTACCGTGCAGTCTAATTACTATTATTACTTTTTATTGCAGAAGAAACGGTGCACAAGTTATTCTTCTAATTTCTTAGTTATTCCTTCGATTATTTTTCTTACAGATGTACGTATGCGCGAACGGAGATCATACGAGAAGAAGAATGGAACAGGCGTAATTTGGAACAAACGTAATTTACATCTAATCACATATACGAAACATTTTTTTCCCGAAACGACACATGTATTTTAGGTCTGCCAACAATTTATTACCGCTCTCGCGGGTCCTCATTATTATTATCGTTATTATTAGCCGCCATTATTATTAATATCATCATCATCAGCTTTTGTTAACGATAACGCGATTCGACGTGTACTTTGAATAACAAATTAATCGCGATAACGCCCATACAGCACAGATGGTTGCAATTACATTGCAGAAACGTTGCAATCTTGCAGATTGCGGTGCAATCTTGCAGAGACATTGCAGGGATATAAAATTGCAAGTTTTCAATAGCAATATTGCCGCAATGTTTCAACAATAATGAAAATACTATATTTTCTATTAAAAAAATTTTTCTAATTACGAGAATTTTATAATGTTATTTTCGTTGATACCAATAATGCGCGAATTATTAAGTACTTGATCAGCGCGGTGTTGCTCGCAATCTCCATCTATTACGAAGCAACATAATCTCCTTAGGTTGCTTCGCAATAGCTTGCTATGCGTTGAAAAAAGCCCGGATGTATATGTAGTAAATTAGTAAATTCTCTGCTTATGTACAACAACAACAAATTATTCTAAAAATATTGCACCGCAACATTGCTATAATGTTGCACCGCAATCTCTCTGAGGGCGGACATTTTAACGTTGCTGCAATCCTCCAGAAACGTTGCAGCAATGTTGCGCAACGTTGCTGCAATATTGCAATCTTGCAATATAACATTTCTGCAATCTTCCTGCAATCTTTCTGTGCTGTGTGGGTAATTAGTAAATTCTCTGCTTATCCCACACAGCACATGATATCATTCGAATATTCTGTACTCATACTGAATGTTCTGTGATAATACAGGATAAACTGAGAACATTCGAATAATATTTTAGTAGTACGTTATTTCTCGTATGTGCATGGGATATACGCGGAATATAGACATGTGCCTGATCCGGTACGCCTGATTCCCTCCTGAATAGATAGCACTAGTACCACATACTACCGCGACGTGGCGACCGCGCGTTAGTCTTTCTCGTAAGTAAAAATCGTCCTGTATTAGTATAAAAGGCGAGCCGATACCTCGCGAGAGCGAGTTGCCTGGATCATGGCTAAACCTCAATAACCTAAATATACTTTTAATGACTATGTAATTTAACACAATTTAACAGTTAGTTTAACAAATTGAATTTATTAATAGGAAGCCTATTGATGTCCCACTCCTTATTAGAAACT